TGTTTTGATATGTTACCATCCTTGTGGGAAGCTTCTCTCATGTCCCCACATAGGAAGCTGGAGCTGACAGAGGGAGCTCATCCACACTCTCCCCAAATTCGAACCTCTAACCTGTCAGTCTTCAGTCCTGCCGGCACAAAGGTTTAACCATTTGCGCCAGCAGGGGCTCCTGGCAGAGAACTGAAACAAAACAATATAGGCTACTTATCCATTTCTGGGCAGAATTCAAAATACAAACTATGATTATTGAATCCCTACACAGCTTGGTTCCATAATATTTGAAAAACCATACAGTATGAGCACTGTAAGTCCTGCAAGACTCTAGGGTAACATCTGGGAGAAGTTGTTCATTTCAATAGGATTCACTATTATCCATTGTTTCCTATTTCTATACTAAATTCAGGAACTATCCTCCAGGAATATAATAATTATACTATTTTTCTTGTACATTGTACATCACATTTACACTGCTGTGACAAATGATCAGTGAGAGGGAGAGGAGGAAAAACACAAGGGAGGTGGAGTGATTGAAACCCAGGGTATTTCAAGAAAGATTTTTCATCCTAGTCTTGGAATATGCAGTTAAAAATCAAAACAAATATGTTCAAAAACTGGAATCTCCCAATACTCCCAGAGATGTTTTTTTCTCTTCTAGATGAGCCCATGTATAACAGCACTGGATGTAAACCCAAGGGAGAGAAGGCATTACATGTTCTTCCATCACTTAGCTGTGGTTTCGGGCAGCTGATTTACCGTATCCTCGAAGAAGGAAGAGTAATATGATCTTTGTAATTAGCTTCTTTACAAAGAACTATGGCAATGAAGGAATAAGTTGGATGTGCAGCTTACAGCCACATCTACATAGAGCCATTATTTGGCCTCAATTCAGTGTGTCAGATGCTTGATCAGGTCCAACAGGTGTTCACCATGCCACAGAGGTAGGTGGGATGGAGTCCCCACTGCCCAGCAGTGCATAATGTCCTTTATTGCGTGATCTCTGAACACAATGTGACACCTACCTGTTCCCTGTTGCTCAACCTTGCATAAGCTGCAGTGGTGGGGCACCAAGAGGGGGATTTTCCCTCTTCCCACTCCCCTCCTCTCTTCCAAGCACTCCCAGTTGCTATGGCTGCCACCAGGGTGAGCAAAAAAGAAAACGTAAGTGCCAAGTCATAGCCAGAGTCTAGGAATTGGTCACTACTATCCTCACTGTCCTCTGTTAGGAATTGGTCACTAATGTCCTCACTGTCTATATGTTGTACAGAACTTGATTCCTGAGGCAGGGTCTAGGCTTTCTCCAAACTTTAGGTAACATGGGGCAAGTCTATGTTAAAGTTGTCTTGTCCAGTGTTACCATGGATCAGAGTATAACTGCCACAGGACTGATCTATTTCTATACTGACCTAAATGATCAGTATAGATGTGCCCTACAATTCAGAGCTGCATAAGTAAAAATAAACAAGGGGTGCATCAAAGGGGTGCTAAGGAAAAAAAGTTGTATTGTCGAAGACTTTCATGGATAGACTACCAGGGGTGTTGTGTGGCTTCCAGGCTCTATGGCCATGTTCAGCAGCATTTTCTGATGACCCTCTGAAGATTCCAGCTACTGATGTAGGCATAGCATTAGGAGAAAGTGCTGCTAGAACACAGCCATAGAGCTCGGAAATCATACAATACCCCCAAAATATGTTGTATTCTCCAAACAATATTGTATGCCTTTAAGTCATCTCCAGAGTATAGCATTCTGAAGATGAACGTAACACAGAATTTTCTTGGCAACATTTGTTGAAGGAGGGGTTGCTTTTCTTTTTCTCTGAGAATGAGAAAGTGTGACTTGTCCATCATCACCCAGTGGGTTTCCTGGGCTGAATATAGGTTCTAATCTGGGTCCCTAAAGTCATACTCCATTACTGGAATTATTGCACCAGACTGCTCCATTATAGTTCACTAAGTAATTTGATGATAATTTTGGCCAATGAAATAGAATGGCAGTTCATATCGGGCTGCATGTATTCATGTATAAGTCTAGGAATTTTAGTCAAAAAAGTCACTTTAAGAAACTAGGTTGACCTATCTATAGATCAATATTTCATGTTTGTCCAGAAAATGATCGCCCCCTTCTCTGAGTGGTGGAAGGCAAGAGCTTAGTCTGCCTTGGGAGAATCTAAATGAAGCACTAACCCCTTCTATTCTCTCTCCTGTAGAGCCGCTTCTCATTTTTTTGTATGCCTGGATGGGAAAATGGTGACTGTGACAGTACTGGTGACCCTCCATTGTAGCCTGGCAAAAGCAAGGTCAGGAGTCAGATTCTGAGGATCAGGGGTCTCAAGAAGAATGTGTTCAGGATGATTTGCAAACAGGACAGCTTGACCTGGCCAATGCTGTGCATATCTTAGACCAGTGGTTCTCAACCTTCCTAATGCGGCGACCCCTTAATACAGTTCCTCATGTTGTGGTGACCCCCAACCATAAAATTATTTTCATTGCTACTTCATAACTGTAATTTTGCTACTGTTATGAATCATAATGTAAATACCTGACAAGCAGGATATATTTTCATTCACTGGACCAAATTTGGCACAAATACTCGATACGCTCAAATTTGAAAACTGGTGGGGTTGGGGGGGATTGATTTTGTCATTTGGGAGTTGTAGTTGCTGGGATTTATAGTGCATCTACAATCAAAGAGCATTCTGAACTCCACCAACAATGGAATTGAACCAAACTTGACACACAGAACTTCCATGACCAAATATTGGAAGGGTTTGATGGTCATTGGCTTTGAGATTTGGAGTTGTAGTTCACCTACATCCAAAGATCATTGTGGACTGAAAAAGTGATGGATCTGGACCAAACTTGGCACGAATCCTCAATATGCCCAAATATGAACACTGGTGTTGTTTGGGGAACATAGACCTTGACATTTGCCCAAGTTCCCATGAAATCATGCCAGAGACATCTGTGTTTTGAGGCTCACTGGTGTGAGCCTCCCTCTAGCCTCATGAGCTCTCCCTCACCCATGCATGTGCACCATGCTGCCATGCGCCAAGCATGCCTGCTCTCCCCTCCCTGCTTGGAGTCTCAGAAACAGTCCTCCACTTGACTGAGAGGCTGGCTGAGGGGCCAGTCAATCACAGTGGAGGAAGAGAAGAGAAAGACAGATGGAGAGATCTTTAGCTTTCTCTGCCAAAGGTGTTCTTTAGGCCATCAGAAATATTTGTTTTCTGATGGTCTTTGGAGACCCCTCTGAAACCCCCTCATGACCCCCCCCCAGGTTGAGAAACTCTGCCTTAGACAGTTCCCTAGCAACTGAGCTTAAGGAAAGTGAAACCATTTCCCCAGGGAAGAGTCCTTGTGAAGATGGGGAGGTCGAGGTCCTAGGGAATGTAGATTAGATCTCAGAAAGCAAGGTGTGAAAAACAGACAGAGGAGATCTCAGCATCTTCAAGATAATGCCTTGCTCCAAAATAAGGCCTCAAAACACAGATGTCTCTGGCATGATTTCATGGGAACTTGGGCAAAGCCTGGAAAGACAAATTAGGTGCTTGGCTTCCAGTATCTTAAATTAGGTGCTCGGCTTCCAACTTTGCTGTTGAGAAAACGGTCTCTTGTTCGTGTTACCAAGTTTTCATGTATTGTCAAGATTCCTGTTTCATGTTCCTGTCTTTGCCTACGTATCCTGAACAGTTTTGCCTGGAAGGATTTCTTGTATCCATGCTCCTGCATTTGCCTTGGATTGTTTTTATGTTTTGGATTTCTAGCTTTTATGATATTTGTTTGGTTCTTATGAAATACCTTTATTGAACTCTGATTGCTTATATATATTGTTGGTTATATCCTGAGTGCTACTTTTGGATATTACCCCCTTTCCCCCCTTTTATTATTCTTTATTCAATAAATATGTTGTTATTAGATTATTTGCCTCAGGTGTGGTGCTGGATGAAGTGGTGCCTCAGTGCCAGGGTGCAACATCTTCAACTTATACATGGATCATATTAAAACCCATAATTTTCATATGACTGCAAGTTATGCACAAGTATATATGAGTAATAATAACTCACTAGGAAAAACAGTGGCTAAAATAAAGCTGAGGCAAAATGGTTCCTGTGGATTTTTGGGAAACTGCTTGCAATTTTCCTCCTATAAAGAAGGGAAAGTTTTCCACATTCAATAAGAGACCCAGAAGCAGTTGAAATGGGCTTGGTGGTTTTTCTACATAATCAAATCCAACTGGTTGTACAACACAGTAATTTTTACTCTCACTTGCAAAAAGAAACTGCTTTTAAAATGATCTCAAAGCAGCGTTATTGTCTACAGCCAAAAATAATAATGACACAGAATTACTATTACTAGGAAGAGGAAGCTGTTTAGAGAAAATTACGAATATTTCAAATGGGTCAGAAGAGGGCTAATGAACAGGAATCTTAAGGATAAGGATAGATGAAGGGAAAGCAAAGATGAAAAATATTTGCCCCCTGAACATCCTCCCCCTTTTCACTGATTTATTCCACACGGTTAACATTCATGCCCAAACATTCATTTTCCTGTTAGTCAGAATGACAAATATTGTACTATTGATTTCAACAGGATTTAGGTATGACCTTATTTTCCCTGGCTGCGGTCTAAAAAAGGAAACAGGGAATTTCACATTTGTAAAGAGGAGGTGCAGGTTGGAATTGAACCAAAAGAAAAAAAACTATTTCTGATCTCTTTTCAAGAAAGCCAGAAATAAACCAAGCAACAGGTTTATTTCCTAGAACTTTGCTTGCATAAATGAAGAACATATTTTAAAAAGATATCGCAGCTGATCCAGGCAGGATTCACTTCTAAGACTATCAATATCTTAGATAATATTTTTTGTGTTATTCATGGCTGTTAGTCAAACACCAGTGACTTCATCATACCAAACAGCTACTTGGAGGACATTAAAAGAGATGGGTGTGGAAATGCTTAGCATCCTCAACTCCAGAGGGAGGAGTTGTTTCAGTTCCTTTCAGAAACCAAACCACCAGCAAAAGAAAGCTGCAAGCGTACGCAAAGGCAAAGATAGCCTGAGTCTCCCCCATACCTTCTGAAATCTTTGATCAAGGTAAGAGTTTTTATTCCTCATTAAATGCTTCTATACACTGTTAATGCTAAAATATTTATACAAGTATTCCTAAAGCCGTGCTATAAACAGAGCATGGGGAAGTTACTTTTTGAACTAACACTCCTACTGCTTCTCCTCCAGCAATGTTCACATAGGCCAGGACTTCTTAAACTTTTTCTGCTTATGACCCCTTTCCTCCTGAGAAATTTTTATGTGACCCCAGGTATATAGGTATATTGAACATTTACTACTAATAAATCAGCATTGGCTGATTACTAATAATAAATTACTAATAATAAATCAGCATTTTATGTAGAGTCCATTGTAAAACACTGCATGTTGTTGCTAAAAGATTCATGTAAATGTCTACGTAGCATTCAGATACCTTATACCAGGCATGGGCAAACTTTGGCCCTCCAGGTGTTTTGGACTTCAACTCAGGAATTGTGGGAGTTGAAGTCCAAAACACCTGGAGGGCCAAAGTTTGCCCATGCCTGCCTTATACTGTTGCCAAAATTTTGGTGACTCCAACACTGAGCTAAGGGGACCCCATTAAAAAAGCAGTGACATAGGCCATGCCGAATGAGGAATTTTTAAAAATGTAGTTCAAAACTCTCACCTCCCCATGTACTGGCAATAATAACTCTTCTCATTCTGTTTAAAAATCTGAACAATGTCTTGCAATAGGCTCAGTTATTGGTTTGCACTGTGCATGGATGAACCCAAAAATTGCACCCCACCACTGGCATACTTAGTTGGTTTTTACAGCCGTGCTTATTTTCTGCATAGCTGTTCTCTTTAAATATGCTTTATGACATTTCCAGTTTAAAGAAATAATCACACACACACACATATAGAGAGAGAAAGAGCATATCCCAAACATATCATGGGGTTTTCTTGACAAGATTTCTTCAGAAGGGGGTTTTCAGTACCTTCCCTGAAGGCTAAGAGTCCTTCCACACAACCATATAACCCAAAATATCAAGGCAAAAAAATCCCAAATTATCTGCTTTGAACTGGGTTATCTGAATCCACACTGCCATATATTCCAGTTCAAAGCAGAAAATATGGGATTTTATTCAGCTGTGTGGAAGGGGCCTAAGAGAATGTAGCTTTGCCAACATCATCCAGTGGGTTTCCATATGTAGGCAAGTAAGCAATGTTAGAATTAAGAGCCACAAATGTAAGCATATTTATAATTGGTTTCCATTCATAATTTTCACTAATAAGTAAAACTAGCTGTAATAGTAGAGACAGTAGTTTGAGAATGTCACCCCAAAAACCTGTGGACTGTAGGAACACTGAAGTCAAAACTTACTAAGGCTGTACTTGTAAACACACCTGAAGAGAATAAAATCCTCAATGAATACTATGAGGTTGACGTGTAAGTAAACAGGCAGCGTAAAGTTGGAAACTTTTATTTATCATGTCAGGGGCAACCAGACCATTATATTACATTTCTAACAGAACAAAACAAATAAACAGATAAAAAACACAAAGTTTGCAAACTTGGTAGTTGATTAAATGTCCTTTGACCAGTATCTGGCCACTTGGAGTGCCTCTGGTGTTGCCGCAGGAAGGTCCTCCATTGTGCATGTGGCAGGGCTCAGGTTGCATTGCAGCAGGTGGTCAGTGGTTTGCTCTTCTCCACACTCGCATGTCGTGGATTCCACTTTGTAGCCCCATTTCTTAAGATTGGCTCTGCATCTCGTGGTGCCAGAGGCCAGTCTGTTCAGCACCTTCCAAGTCGCCCAGTCTTCTGGAAACTATCTTTAGGATATCTCTGGAAATTGCGTATCATCAAGGGAGATGTTGACAAGCTGGAATATGTCCAGAGGAGGGTGACTAAAATGATTGCGGGTCTAGAGAACAAGCCCTATGAGGAGCAACTTAAAGAACTGGGCGTGTTTAGCCTGCAGAAGAGAAGGCTGCAAGGAGACATGATGGCCATGTATAAATATGTGAGGGAAAGTCGGTAGGAGGGAGCAAGCTTGTTTTTTGTCCTGGAAACTAGGACGCAGAACAATGGCTTCAAACTACAGGAAAGGAAATACCACTTGAACATTAGGATGAACTTCCTAACTATGAGAGCTGTTCAGCAGTGGAACACTCTGCCCTGGCCTGTGGTGGAGGCTCCTTCTTTGGAGGTGCTTTTAATGTGATTTCCCTGCTTCTTGGCAGGGCTTGGACTGGATGGCCCACGAAGTCTCTTCCAACTCTATGATTCTATGAAATGACTAACCAGTGCTGGCAAGAATGTTACACAATGATGCAGAGGGTGCTTTTATATACCGTATATTCCGGCATATAAGACGACTGGGCGTATAAGACGACCCCCAACTTTTCCAGTTAAAATATAGAGTTAAGACGACTCCCATGCATAAGACTACACCCGCATATAAGACGACCCCTGACTTTTGAGAAGATTTTCTTGGGTTAAAAAGTAGTCTTATACGCCAGAATATACTGTATATACAATCAGCCCTTTGTCTCTATGAATTCCACCACCCACATCTTGAAACTATACTTTTTGGGGGGGAAATCCTAAAAGCAAACTGGATTTTGCATTTTTATGTAAGGGACACCATGTTACTATGGCATTGTATAAAGTGGTACTGAGCAGCCATGGATTTCAAGTGAGAGCATCTTCCATGAATGGAGCACTTCGATCCATGCAAGTCAGTATTTTTGTCTGTTTGTTTGTTTTGTTCTGTTAGAAATGTAATACAATTATCTGGTTGCCCCTGACACGATAAATAAATAGGACTTGGATGGAAGGAAGATCTTGAATGGTTTAGGTTTAGGTCTTCAGTTAATCTCTATTACTGCCTCTTCTTTCGGAAACATACAAAATAAAACATATCCACTGATATATAAAATCACTAACAGCAGTAATTTTACACCTTCTAATATTAATAAGCAAATAATAAACTCCTTCCCCACAAATGTACCTTTTCATTGCTATCTCATCCAGAGTTTTATCATTTTATGTCGTGCATTTGGTCCGCCCACTGTGTTTTATTTTTCATTATGTTGTTTTATTGGTTTATTTATTTTATTGTGATGTTATTTTGTTGTTTATATTTTATGTTGCTGTAATGTATCGCTGGGCTTGGCCTCATGTAAGCCACTCTGAGTCCCCTTTGGGGAGATGGTGGCGGGGTATAAATAAAGATTATTATTATTATTATTATTATTATTATTATTATTATTATTATTATTATTATTATGATGTATTTGAAAGAAAACTTCCCAACCCTACCCCAGAGTAAAAATCATACAGCACATTGTACCATCACAGCTCTTAACAAACAATATATATTTTATATATATGTAAGTTATCTATAGTAAACAAAAATGACCAAATGTAATCACTGTTACTTCTAGCTTTTACAGTAGGTCCCTGTATTAGGTAAGGGATCAGTTCCAACACCTTTTGTGTAATATGATTTTCACTTGATCTAAAACCGTGTTATATTTTCTGAAAAATAGAATTCCAGATTAAGTCAAAATGTTGTACAGGAGGACCAAGTGATGCCTTGAGAAGTGTTCTCTATGCAACAGCCTGACTCTGTGGTCACCTTCCCTTGAAATCCGACCATAGAAATTCAATAGAGGCCTAGAGAAAACACTTTTCTAGACATGGCTAGGTCCTCTTGCATGATTCCATGGTATTCAAAGTTTGTTGTGTATAACTGAAATCATGTTCAACCAGTTTGCACAGTAAATTGACCTTTTTTATTTCCAAATTTTGACAAATACCCTTTATTCTACTGTGTAAATTAGATTTTTTGTCAAAAAAATTAACCCAAAAAACTGGAGCCCCTTCTACATTGCCATATAAAACCCAGATTAGCTGCTTTGAACTGGATTCTATGGCAGTGTAGACTCATATAATTCAATTCAACGCAAATAATATCTGCTTTGATAACCTGGATCATATGGCAATGTATAATGGGCCTTTCCCAGGAGAGTCTAAAAGAATAATTGAGCGCTCTGCTTTCTCCCCTGTGGCCTGCCTACTGACCTTTTTGAATGCAGTGGTGGTGCAGAATAATTCTTGAGTTTTCCAAGAGTCCTGTCAGAATCCATAATTTTGGCTCCAAAACCTGCCTTCAATTTATACATGAGGTTGATATATACATGAGTAGATATGATAGATTCATTTGGTAGGCCTGTTGTATATTTACCATTGCAACTGGTCACACTGTTGCTTACTGCCCCGTAGGCTCAGATGTTTGTTGCATATTGCAGCTTGGGGGAGATCCAAATGATTGTGCTTTCAGATAAGAATGAGAATTATCTAGCAGAGATAAGAATGGGATTGTCAAATTAGGAAAACAGGCCCCACATACAAGAAGGGAAGAATTTTCAGGGAGAAGTACAAAGAGGTAGGCTTCCTTGGATTCAAATGATCTGTGGTGTGGATGAAGGCTTCTTAAACTTTCCCACCTGGGACCCGCTTTGGTCCAAGGAATTTTTATGTGACCTCAGGTATATATGTATATAAAGTGTAGTAGATATAAAAATCAAATATTTAACAATATTAAATCAGCATTTACAAGGCTTTCTGAATAGGCTGATTTTGCACAACAGATTCATGTAAATTTCTAAAACAGCCACTAGTTGATGTTCAGAAATGTTTACTATTGCCAATTTTTTGGGAGCCCAACATTGAGCTAAGGGGACCCAATTTATGGTCAGGACCCACAGTTTAGGAAGCAGGTTTGAATTATACTCATGTTTCAGTGGTTCGTTTTCCTTGGAACAGTACCATCTGATTCATCCATAAACTCTGGGCTATGTCTACAACAAAAGCCATGTCTACAACAAAATACTTAATGCCTGGCCTCCAACATATTGATTGCCCTGTGAACATTTTACCAATTTCATATATTTTCTGGTCTCTTTCATCCTGCACAATTCTAATATCACTTTAACTGTTATGGCTACATCCAATGGCATCCTAGGGCTTGTAGTTTGGAGAAAACTCTCTATAT